GGTTGGCCGCGGGATATCAGGAGGGACCTGATGGGAGGGGGTGGGGCTGGCCAGGAATAAGGGGGGGAATCACACATGGGAGGGATCGGGGGCCACGAGGGGGGCCGGGGGGAAGGGGGAACAGGAAGCAGAGCTGGCGGGGGTGGGGGGAGGTGCAGCAGCTGGCCGGGAAGATCAGGAAGAGGAACGGGCCGGAGGGAAGCAGAGCTGGGGGGGACGGTCCAGGGGGGCTGGCCAGGGAAGATCAGAAGAGGTAGTGGGGGAGAACTGGCTGTCCGGGAAGCGGGAGGGGGGGAGCAAATTGCCGGCGGGGAGTGGGACTGACCTGGGCACTTTCTGTCTGTCCCACGCAGGGTCCCGGCGACGCACGAGCGAGGAGGAGGCTTCCCCTCCTCCTCACACTTAACTGACTCCCAGCCGCTCCCTTGCCCACGCCAGGCTTCTGTCCGGTGCACAGCCGGAAAAATCAGAAATACCGGACGTTGCAGGTGTCTGGTATTTTCTGATTTTTTTTACCGGACAGAGCGCACAAATAGCAAACTGTCCAGTACAATGCCAGACACCTGGCAGGCCTACCTGCCCCTTCTTCCCTGCGGCGGCCCGGCTGAGTGCGCAACACTCAGCCAAGCCACCACGGAGTGAGAGGAAGAGGGCGGGGTGGTGACGTACACGGCCAGGGGGCGGGGCCGTGTACATCACCACCCCCTCCTCCCCTCCCGCTGTGGCACTCAGCTGAGTGCTGCACCCCTCAGCTGGGCCATTGAGGGGGAGCCAGCAGCGCAAGGGGCCATTTGGGCTCCCCCATAGCGGGAGGGGAATGGGGGCAGGGAAGTGACGTACACAGCCCTGCCCCCTGGCCATGTATGTCACCGCCCCGCCCCCCTTTGCCTCCCACCGTGGCATTCGGCTGACTTCTGCTCCCCTCAGCCCGGCCCCCGCCGGAAGGGGAAGGGGAGAGACGAAGGGGAGAGGGAGGCAGGAGGAGGAGAAGAGAAAGAAAGAGACGGAGAGAGAGGCAGGAGGCGGAGGAGAGAAGACCAAGGTGGAGGAGAGACCTGAAAATCCCGTTTTATGACAAGCTAATTGGCTAGTTTCAAAATAAGGGGCTTGTTGCTAAAATGCGGAAAATGCTATTTTGGAATACCGGACACATTCCGAAACAGCGTCGCTGTCTACACATAAGGCCCAGCGTGGAACACTGGGACAGGGCACTCTAGTCACTGCTCCTGGTGGTTAGCTCTGCCAGGCAGATGCCCCTTCCTGCACCACTTCATCACTCTCTTGCATGTTCCAGGAACTGTAGTTTCCTTTTCACAATCCAGCCTCCAGCCAGGTCACTATATAGTTTTCCCTTTCAAGGTAGAGTACGTCAACATCTTTCTGCTCCAGCACCATCACACTCTCCCGCTCTCCCCCCCCCCACCACCCCCCCCCTACCATTCCTGCAGTGGTCCAGGCTGTCTTCTAGTTCACTGCGCCAAGCAGTACCACTCTGCAGTGGTTTATAGGGGAACCCAGGTTTCAGTCCAGGGCCCTTCACCAAGCAGTCAAGTTCTGCAACCTCTCTAGCCTTATTGCTCTCACCCCTAGACTTCTTACTTCCACCCATTCTAGTGAGACCCCTCTTACCTAGAGTCTATAGGGCCTCAGGGATTCTATCCTTTCTCCCTCAGGGAAAGTGACTCACTCTTTACCCTGCAGCCCTTTTTCTGTGTCTGATCTCTTGGCGTCACATAAGACCTGTCTGTTCCCTCACAAGTGAGCTTGCTTACAATTACCAACCCCCTCGGAGCCTAAATCTAGCCCTGTTTGCTCCCTGATTGGCTGATTGAGCCCACCTGGCCTAATTCAACCTACTCTGGGCCAGGATGGGGAACCAGCCTTCTCATGAGTATGCTCAGTGCAGTCAGCACCAAAGAGCCAAGAGGGGATAGCGGGTGGGAAATGCAGAGGGACTCTTGGGAGAATCTACCTGACAAACCCTAATAAGACTCCACTAAGTATATGCACACAGATTTCTGAACACTTAGAACTTGGCCAGGTGGGGGTAATTTTTCATTGGAACAGCAAAAGGTGCATTCCATCCTGACATTAGAGAGGATCCTCCCCTCCCCCCACTCATCCCCTCCCACACACACACATACACATACACACACCAAATGTCAAGTCACTGCTTCCAAGCATGGAGGAGCTAAAGCAGCAATGGGCAACCTAAGCTGTGAGTGCACCATAGGAGTGGCCCTCCTTCATCTCAATGGGCCGCAAGGTTGTCGTAGCCAAGACGGTCTCCCATAATAGGGTAGTTTTGCTAACTGCGCTTGTGTAGCTAGAATTTGCAGGGTGTGCCAGTTGAACCGTAGCAGCACTTTGAGTGGATGCAGAGGGACTGCACGGCTCTCACGGTTAATGTTGTGCTCAATCGGCGTCACTTCATGTGCCCTTGCTTTATGTGCATGTCACTTTTGTAATACCGGTAGGAAAAAAACGACGCGGACGGAAACCAGTGGAATCTGGTAACCCTGTGTGTGGGCAACAGTAAACAAAATGTCGTGGGTTGCACACAGAATGTGGCCATGGGCTGCAGATTGCCCACCACTGTGTTAGAAGGGGCTACAAGCATTTTTAACATGGATAAAACAATGTATATTCCCTAACTTTGGCATTAGCCATGCCTGAGCCATTTTTCTGTGGAAGCTATCACAAAAAATTCAGAATGAGGCAAACACCCAGCCTGGAAAATTTCAGCACGGATGGTTAAAATTTGGCAAATTCTAATCAAATGAAAAACTTAAAAAATAACAAATAGTCTGGTAGCACTTTATAGATTAACAAAACATGTAGATGGTATTATGAGCTTTCGTAGGCACAGCCCACTTCTTCAGATGACCGGAGACTGGTTCTAGTCATCTGAAGAAGTGGGGTGTGCCTACGAAAGCTCATGATACCATCCACATGTTTTGTTAGTCTTTAAAGTGCTACCCAACTATTTGTTGTTTTTGAAGTTTTTCGTGTTACAGACTAACTCAGCTACCCCTCTGAAACTTCTAAGCAAATGGGTCTTATAATGGGAAGTGTCAGGCAATATAAACTGTAGGGGTATGTCTACACTACAGCACTAATTGGATTGCAATATCCCGTACTGCCCTCTCGGGCCTGATTCTCTACTACCTTGCCCTGGGTGCTGGGTCTCACACCTGCACCAAGTGAGCATGACACCTCAGCAGATCAGAAAAGCAACATATTGGACATATGGCACTCACTTGGTGTCAATGATGACTCGAGGTTTCTCTGCTCTGGGAGTTGGAGGTATTATTTCCAGCTCAAGCAGACCTACCCGTGCTAGCTCTGATCAAGCTAACATGCTAAATATAGCACAGCTGCGGTAGTATGAACACCGGGTAGAGCTAGCCACATACTCAGGTGGACTCCTCTGACTGCTCACGTCTCTATTTTTAGGATAGTAGCTCCATCAAAGCTCACCTCATAGGTATGTATCCTTGAGCTGGAGATTACACCCCCAGCTCAAAGGATAGAAGCACTCACAGCATACAGCAGTGGATAACAAGGCCTCTAGTCTTATGGGCTGTTTCTCCTCTCTCTTGCACATCTGTAAATCAGGAGACGTTCCATTGCCCAGAAGACGCAGACTTGGTGACTGCATTTAGAAAAGGCCAGGCTCTCACGGTTTAGAGCCTATCGAAGATGCTTGTAATGGTGGCATTTTCATAACTGGGGATTGAATTAGATTTCACACATATATTCATCCTGGTTTGCAGGAACCTAGCATGCCTAGGAAATGTGACACTCTCCCCCAACACACCAATGAAACCAGAATTGTTATGTGCCCTCTTGCTAGTGTTATGTTTGTTTGAACAGAAGTCTTGTAGAGTCACATGCCCTGACCTTAGCCACAGAGGTACTAAAATCCAACAAAATACTGTAGTAAAGTGATATCAAGTGGGGAAAGGCAAGACAGACAAAGAATCCACACGCAAAGCTAGAACTCTCATGCTTTTACCCATGAAAGCTCATAATCCTATATATTTATTAGTCTGTAAGGTGCCATAGGACTATTCATTGTTCTTACGCACATCAGGTTAATTCTTATGCACATCAGGTTAATTTAATGACAAGGATGCAATGGTAACACTCATGTTCTTTCATTTTTGTGCTTTAAGAAAGGCCTTCAACGTTACTTGAACATATTTGGAGAGGATTTAATTTCCTTTGAATTCTTCTCTTTTTATTTTTAAACTAACAAATGAAGCTGCTTTTTCTCTTCGTGCCCTATGACACACATACCCTCTGCATTCTACAGAGCTACAGTAGAGCTGGTAGCTGTTTTGAATAGTTGAAGAATAAAGCAGTATTGATCTGAAAGCTTGTCTCATAATTTGATGTGGATTGAGTCAGAAACTGGAGTCTGCAGAATGTTAACATCAGGGAGGTGAATACGGCAGAGTAGAAAGGTTAGCTGAAAATGGAGAATTATTTCCATTTGGAAAGACATTTCCCATGAATATCTTTTCCATATAACATAGACCAAATTCATTAGTGTTTTTCCCCAAAGGCCAGTTCTTTAAAAAAAACAACCAACCTATCAGCCAACGAACCAACCAAAGATTATTTTCCAACTGAAAAAGAAGCCTGAGCTATTTATTAGGAATGGAAGAGCACCTCTATTTGGCATAGAGGATGCACTGTATATTATAGGTGGAGCTAGTAAAATCACCTAGGGTATGTCTACACTACAAAGTTAATTCGAACTAACAGCTGTTAGTTCGAATTAACTTTGTAGTGTAGACATACCCTAGGTGATTTTACTAGCTCCACCTATAATATACAGTGCATCCTCTATGCCAAATAGAGGTGCTCTTCCATTCCTAATAAATAGCTCAGGCTTCTTTTTCAGTTGGAAAATAAGCTTTGGTTGGTTGGTTGGCTGATAGGTTGGTTGTTTTTTTTAAAGACCTGGCTTCTGGGGAAAAACACTAATGAATTTGGTCTATGTTATATGGAAAAGATATTCATGGGAAATGTCTTTCCAAATGGAAATAATTCTCCATTTTCAGCTAACCTTTCTACTCTGCCGTATTCACCTCCCTGATGTTAACATTCTGCAGACTCCAGTTTCTGACTCAATCCACATCAAATTATGAGACAAGCTTTCAGATCAATACTGCTTTATTCTTCAACTATTCAAAACAGCTACCAGCTCTACTGTAGCTCTGTAGAATGCAGAGGGTATGTGTGTCATAGGGCACGAAGAGAAAAAGCAGCTTCATTTGTTAGTTTAAAAATAAAAAGAGAAGAATTCAAAGGAAATTAAATCCTCTCCAAATATGTTCAAGTAACGTTGAAGGCCTTTCTTAAAGCACAAAAATGAAAGAACATGAGTGTTACCATTGCATCCTTGTCATTAAATTAACCTGATGTGCATAAGAATTAACCTGATGTGCGTAAGAACAATGAATAGTCCTATGGCACCTTACAGACTAATAAATATATAGGATTATGAGCTTTCATGGGTAAAAGCATGAGAGTTCTAGCTTTGCGTGTGGATTCTTTGTCTGTCTTGCCTTTCCCCACTTGATATCACTTTACTACAGTATTTTGTTGGATTTTAGTACCTCTGTGGCTAAGGTCAGGGCATGTGACTCTACAAGACTTCTGTTCAAACAAACATAACACTAGCAAGAGGGCACATAACAATTCTGGTTTCATTGGTGTGTTGGGGGAGAGTGTCACATTTCCTAGGCATGCTAGGTTCCTGCAAACCAGGATGAATATATGTGTGAAATCTAATTCAATCCCCAGTTATGAAAATGCCACCATTACAAGCATCTTCGATAGGCTCTAAACCGTGAGAGCCTGGCCTTTTCTAAATGCAGTCACCAAGTCTGCGTCTTCTGGGCAATGGAACGTCTCCTGATTTACAGATGTGCAAGAGAGAGGAGAAACAGCCCATAAGACTAGAGGCCTTGTTATCCACTGCTGTATGCTGTGAGTGCTTCTATCCTTTGAGCTGGGGGTGTAATCTCCAGCTCAAGGATACATACCTATGAGGTGAGCTTTGATGGAGCTACTATCCTAAAAATAGAGACGTGAGCAGTCAGAGGAGTCCACCTGAGTATGTGGCTAGCTCTACCCGGTGTTCATACTACCGCAGCTGTGCTATATTTAGCATGTTAGCTTGATCAGAGCTAGCACGGGTAGGTCTGCTTGAGCTGGAAATAATACCTCCAACTCCCAGAGCAGAGAAACCTCGAGTCATCATTGACACCAAGTGAGTGCCATATGTCCAATATGTTGCTTTTCTGATCTGCTGAGGTGTCATGCTCACTTGGTGCAGGTGTGAGACCCAGCACCCAGGGCAAGGTAGTAGAGAATCAGGCCCGAGAGGGCAGTACGGGATATTGCAATCCACTTCAAATTTCCCCTGTAACTGCAGCAATTCTTCACCTCCCAACCTCCACGCGGTGACATGCACAGGAGAGACGGCTGCCATATTCTACCCCAGAGAGGGAAGAGCAATCACTGGGTATAAAAAGAAGCAGATGGTTAGAATAGATATGCAGCCTGTGAAGGTCCTGGGATGAAAGAGGCAGTCAAAATGTAGGGGCTATTTTTTGAGCGACCTGGCCCAGATTGTTCCAAGTGACTAGTAATTTAGGGGGAAGGCGGGCTTAGAAGGCCCAGATTTTCAAAATGGGCTGAGCACCTCAGACCTGGTAAGCCCACAGGGCTGCTGGAACACAATGTGGTCTAGCCCACTGCTGTCTGGCACCGGACCACTCCTACCTCACGGTGGCAGGGGTGGATTTTCCTGTACCTGCTATGGCAAGGGTGGGCAGTAATTATCACAGGGGGGCCACAATGAATTTCAGTACGTGGTCACAGGCCTGCTCCACCCCCTGGAAGGGGTGAGGCTTGGGGTGCAAGGGCAGGACTGGGACTAGCCTCCCCCCCCCAGTCAAAACACAGCTAAGGGCTCGCGGCTCAAGTCCCCACCACTACTGCATTGCCTGGCGGCCACCTAGGGTTACAGTAACTATTTAAAGGGCTTGCGGCTCTGGTCTCTGCCAGGGTAGCACCGCCACCAGGAGCTGTTAGCCATTTAAATAGGTTCCTGCTGCCTGAGCCACCCCCTGGAAATTCGGTGGCACAGGCAGCAGGATATAAATAGAAAGCAGCCAGACGTAGTCCACAGGCTGGATCAAAGCGTTAGGCGGGCCAGGACCAACCCCCAGGCTGCATCTTGCCCTGTGCTACAAAATTCTCTGTTACAGGGTTTTAATGCAGAAGCTGAGAATTGCTTTATGCGAGAAGGAGCCAGAGCTGGTCTGTAAAGCCAGCTTTAAAAGCCCTTTGTTTCTCCGCCACAGTACAGAGGGGACTTACCTGGGGCCGAGGATCTGATGTGTAGATTCTTGGGATTTCCCTGTAGCAAGGACCAAAAAGCCTGTAGTCTGTGGGGGGAAACCCATAGGCTTGGCAGACCCATGATGGTCACTTAGTCATCGGTAAGGAATCCCCGCTGAAAGAAAGAAACTGGTTAGGTGAACGGTTTTCCCCCAGCACCAAGGCTGTATGTGTAGTAGGTACTGTCTACATCCTCCAGGTATGCTGCACTGTTCTCGTCTTGGAAAAGGTGGCTGTTGACAATCATAATATCTCAGAAATGTTATTTTTTATTGCAAGCTCTCCTGCCTTGGAAATCACTAATAAAGGTTCCATTGTGCTCCTGGTGCTGCCGGCTCCAAAATCTCATGCCTGTGGCTTAGTGGTACATGGGATTGTCTCCTGTACCAACGCCCCTCCTCCTACCCCTTGCTTGCCATCCCACAGCCTTTGGAGAGCTGCTCTGAGTCACGGCAGGATTTTTTCTGCATAGTTTGCTCGCTGACGTACAGAAGGGATTTTACCTACTTGGAAAACAATTCCCCGGGGAGCCCTGCTGAAAGCACTCGACAACTTGCCGTCTCTGTGACGTCTCTGTGACGCCAGTGAATGATCTGGGGTTGGTTTTGTTTAAGGGGAACTGGAATCCTGGTTTCCACAGCGATATTTTTTTTTTTCAGATGCAAGGAAGAGGTAATACCGGCTACATCGGGACCAGGAGGACTTGAAATTTGAAACATGTGCAGCATGGGGAGGGCATGGCAAAGAAGTGGCCCAGGATGCATGGCTTAATATTCATTGCTCTTGTTCACATAGGTATTGAAGTCACTTGTGTTAGGGAGCGAGACAGTCTAGTGGTGACATCAGGGGATTGGGAGTCAGGACTCCCGAGTTATAGTTCTGGCTTTGCCATTGACTTGCTCTATGAAAGTCATTCAGGGTCAGGCTGTGAGATCCTTACTCACAGTGACTAGTACTTTACTCACAAGCAGCTCCATTGACTACAGAGGGATTATTCACGCCAGAATGTATTCTTCAACCTCAGAAAGGGGGTCAGAGCCTTATCCTTTACCTCAGTTTACCCATCTTTGAAAAGGTCATGCTCCTTGTGGAAGGGCAAGAGCAGAGCATAGTGTTACTTTATCTGGAGCTTGGGGGCACCAACCGTAACTAAAGTCTCTAGCCAGTCTCAGCTCACAACCTCCTGCTTTCATGGGCCCATAACTTGCCCCAACATCCTCTTCGGATGCCGAGGTTTTCTGATGGGAGTTGATGTATTGACTATTAAAATTTGAGCCATGTCACAGAAGCCCTTTGCTTATTCGCTGCACATTCCCCTGTGTAATGTTTTCTGGGCCAGGTCCTCCACCACTGCAAATAACTGTAGCTCTGCTAAAGTCAGGGGAGCAATGCCTGCTAAGAATCATAGAATACTAGGATTGGAAGGGACCTCGAGAGGTCATCGAGTCCAGTCCCCTGCCCCCATGGCAGGACCAAATACTGTCTAGATCATCCCTGATAGACATTTATCTAACCTACTCTTAAATGTCTCCAGAGATGGGGATTCCACAACCTCCCTGGGCAATTTATTCCAGTGTCTGACTACCCTGACAGTTAGGAACTTTTTCCTAATGTCCAACCTAAACCTCCCTTGCTGCAGTTTAAGCCCATTGCTTCTTGTTCTATCCTCAGAGGCCAAGATGAACAAGTTTTCTCCCTCCTCCTTATGACACCCTTTTAGATACCTGAAAACTGCTATCATGTCCCCCCTCAATCTTCTCTTTTCTAAACTAAACAAACCCAATTCTTTCAGCCTTTCTTCATAGGTCATGTTCTCTAGATCGTTAATCATTCTTGTTGCTCTTCTCTGGACCCTCTCCAATTTCTCCACCTCTTTCTTGAAATGCGGTGCCCAGAACTGGACACAATACTCCAACTGAGGCCTAACCAGCGCAGAGTAGAGCAGAAGAATGACTTCTCATGTCTTGCTCACAACACACCTGTTAATGCATCCCAGAATCATGTTTACTTTTTTTGCAACAGCATCACACTGCTGACTCATATTCAGCTTGTGGTCCACTATAACCCCTAGATCCCTTTCTGCCATACTACTTCTTAGACAGTCGCTTCCCATTCTGTATGTGTGAAACTGATTGCTCCTTCCTAAGTGGAGCACTTTGCATTTGTCTTTATTAAACTTCATCCTGTTTACCTCAGACCATTTCTCCAATTTGTCCAGATCATTTTGAATTATGACCCTATCCTCCAGAGCAGTCGCAACCCCTCCCAGCTTGGTAACATCTGCAAACTTAATAAGCGTACTTTCTATGCCAATATCTAAATTGTTGATAAAGATATTGAACAAAGTCAGTCCCAAAACAGACCCCTGCGAGACCCCACTAGTTATACCTTTCCAGCAGGATTGTGAACCATTAATAACAACTCTCTGAGTACGGTTATCCAGCCAGTTATGCACCCACCTTATAGTAGCCCCATCTAAGTTGTATTTGTCTTGTTTATTGATAAGAATATCATGCAAGACCGTATCAAATGCTTTACTAAATTCTAGGTATAACACATCCACTGCTTCTCCCTTATCCATAAGACTCGTTATCCTATCATAGAAAGCTATCAGATTGGTTTGACATGGACCGTGCCAGGGAGACTGGGAGCTTACATCCTAGGTCTAGCCAAGTAGAATTTACAACACAGACAGTCAGATTCTGGCCCTCTTGCCCCACCCTGGCAGTACACCAGGAATGGAAAGCTGTTTCAGTGAGGATCCCCGGGGTACATGAAAACCCAGGGCTGGGTAACAGCCAGCCTAGCCATCTCTGTGCTATTATGACTTCTTCTCAGGTGGAAAGGGAGAGGCTGCAGGTGTGAGGTAAACGCTCAGGGCTCCAGCTGGGCCAGGGCCAATCTGGCATAGCATAGAACAGGCTGCTCTAGTTTGCTCCAGGGCTCAAAATGGAGGAAGGGTCAAAAGGAATCCCACCTCTAAGAATCTAGCCTGACTCAACAGAGAGCATGGCTCCGTGTACGAGTGCAGCTGGGTGTGACTCTGGGTACTAGTGCTTGGTTCATAAACAGGTGGTCAAGCACATTTCATTTTTCCCATCCTGGCCCAAGAATTTTAGTGTGCAAGGCCTAGAACATCCATCTTTGTGTCAGAAGAAGTGGTAACCAATGGCAGGTCCCTTCCTCTTCCACTTTTTCCTCTTGGCCTCTCCCCCTGCATGCACACAGAGAGGCTGGGCAATAAGGGAACTGATGCAGACTGTAGTATCAAGAGGAGGAGGCAGTAGCATTGGTTTTGTTTCAAAAGGAACAGAGAATGTGTTGGAGTCAGTTGAAGCAAGGGCTGAGCCTTGTTTTTGACTGGAATTAGTCTCCCCAGGGACAACTGTCTTTTTTTCCCCTTTTACTATGGATGTTTTTGTTTGTGAGTTAAAAAGTCCCAGGATTTGCAGTCTTTGAAGCATGGTCAGCCTGCCAGATGGAATCAGTCAGGGCCTTTTCAGTCGGAAATCCTGGGAAGATGAAGCAGGATGAAGATAGTATTTTTCTCATTTGCCAGGAAAACCTCTGCCTCACCCCTCACAAGTTCAACTGGAGACCGCGGCAGGCCCCCTCAAGTGGGCAGGATGGAGGCAACAGGAAGCCAAGCAGTGGGCCAGATTCTTCACTGGTGTAATTCAGCGTGGCACCACTGAAGATAACAGCACTACACCAATGTACAGCAGCTGAGGATGTGGCCCAGATATTCCCGGTGGTACATGCTGTAACAATAAGGCAGCAGTGGAGTTTCATCCATTTACACTGGGCCAGAATTTGGCCTCCTCTCTGTCTTGAGGCACTCCTTCTCCTCCCCAGCTGCACCCCACTGCCTGTTCTGAATCAGTCTCCCTCTGCCTACACCACACCTTCCCTCTCTTGAGTCCCTCAAGGATTCCTTTTCAGAGAAGAGTCCTCTTTGTTTCACATCCGTGACTGGGCTGTCACCTCCTTTTCCTGGACATCTTCCATTCACTCTCAAGTCAAGAACTCTCAACATCACCTTTCAGCCTAGCTTGCCTTTTCCTCTCCAGAGTCAGCTTTACTAACCGATACTTTTTGCAGATATTCCGATCGCCTCTGCAAAGAGGAAGGGCAAAGGGGAATAACCCCAGCCTAATGCACGGCAATAAACATTTGAAGGAGTGTTTTAAACCACTCACACCCACGGCAGAATTCAGAATGAGCTGCAGGCATTCAGAAAGCAGTATCTATGCCGGACGTGGGCCAACTCAACAAAGAGGTTCAGTGTTGGTGGAAAGAACGTGAATGAGACATGGAGCTATATTGGTAAGGGAATAAACCGGAAAAGTTATAGCTTTAAATAACATTCAAAATGGCCAAATCCTGACAGGGAATAAATGTCTGCAATTCCCAATTATTATTTATATTACACTATTTTTTAAAAAATCCTAAGCAAAATCAGGGGCCCATTGTTCCAGGCACTATATGTACTCCTAATGAGAGGCTGTTTGTGCTTACAGTTTAATTAGTCAAAGGGCAGAAGGGGAAACAGAGGCACTAAATGGTGACACAGCTCACAGCACGCCATTAGCAGGGCTGGGAACAGAATGCAGGTGTCTTCTATTCTATACCAGGGCTTATCCAGAGACCACACTGCTCCTCTAAGGCCAGCAGCAGTTTGACTGAGTAACCAAGCAGTTACGATATCACTGAGGCAAAATATGGTAAGAAGATTCAGAAAGAGCTGGGGTTTTAAATTACTAAAAAACACAAAGGCGGGAGATTTGAAATCCAGCTTCCAGTGGATGGAATTTCAGGAACAAAAATGGAAGCCAACCAGGTGACAGCTATGCTGAAAAATCAGGCTGATAATCTACATTCGCTGTGATAAAAATTAGCAGGGGCCATTGGCAGCCATCTGCTAAAGCATTCCTTGATTGCCAGGCGGAGTACAGAAGTAATTCTCTCAAACACTGTGCAATTGCAAGGTAATGTAACCCTCTTCCCCTTCCTTTTAATGAAGCAGGTGCTGCTTATGGTGGCGGCGGGGGAAAGGGCACCATACCAGATGAGAAGGACCACTGCTGTGTCCTCATGCGAGAGTTCCCATGTCCT